CACCAGCAAAAACATTCCCCTTCTAGATCACTTGTTTCCAGCCTCCCCATGTTCTGAATCTGATTTCCAACCAGACCATACCTGAAGCCCTTTCTCTCTTGCGCTCTCTCCTTCCCTCCCCCACCTCTTTTTTCCCCTTCTTCTCATTTCCTGCTTGCCTTTGATTCTCTGCCAAAAGCAAGTGGCGGTGGCTGACTCCCTTGCCATAGTGAGTTCTGAGTAAACAGCCTCTGTTTGTTAGTTCTCATTTGATTGAGCTTCTTTTATTTCCACAGGTTAGAGAATAGTTGGACTCATAATTTGTAAAATATGTTTACTGTAAAAATACTGTACAGAGGGATTACAGTTACATGAGTAATGAGTACATTTCCTATGGAGCATTGTTACCTCTTTTGTTTTTTCCCTACCATCCCTTGCCTCCCAACCTCCCTATGGACTCATAACTGAAGATAGACCTACATAAAACGCTCTAATGTGGAGTGGAGAGGTCTATTTGAAGATGGAGAAGTCAAGAAGCTGAAAGAACAAATTTTGGATGGTCTGCCTTTGCACATGCTGAAACCCAGAAAACCAGTTGGTTTTAGGAAACATAACTGTTGTCAACAGTACTAAGAGACAAGGCATAGTTAGCATAGTAGTCTACATAGACAAAGTAAACTATACCATTGGTGCCTTCTGCCTGTAATCCTAGTTACTCAGGAGACTGAGATCCAGAGAATCACGATTGGAAACCATCCTGGAGAGAAGAGTCACGTAGATTTCATCCCCAATTGACCAGCAAAAAGCAGGGTTGGTAACCCAGTGCCATTGGCTCACACCTGTAATCCTAGCTGTTCAAGAGGCTGAGAGCTAAGGACTGAGGTTCAAAGCCAGGTTGAGCAGAGAAGTCCATAAGACTCTTAACTCCAATTAGCCACCAAAAAGCCAGAAGTGGAACAGTGGCTCAAGTGGTAGAGCATGAGTCTTGAGCAGAAAAGCTCATGTATAGCACCTCTAGTCCCTTACTTTAAGCGCCAATACCAACACACACACACACACACACACACACACACACACAAACAGGACTGGTCACTTAAGGAGAAGAGTAGAGCAAATGAAGGCCCCAGAGCAGGGAATCAAAAGCAGCAGAAAACTGGAAGGAGTGCAGCAGTGCTGATTACATTCTTGCAAGTTAGTACTTTAAGTCAAGATATGCAATTGCCTGAAGATCCACAGTGAAAAGAGTGAGGGTCTCTGTCCTCATTCCAGAGGGGAGGCAGATGGTATAATGGTATAATAAATGTGCCACATTCTGTGAAAGTTGTCACAATTAAAATAGACTCACCAGGCTGGCATGTTATCTGTCTCAGTGGCAAAGTGCTTGCCTAGCAGTCATGGGGAATAAATAGAATCAGAAGGTTATGAAGGACAGGCTCTCACAGATTGCTTAATAGTAATGTACAAACCTCAAAACTTACTAGAACCACAGCTTTCACAAGTTCACTGAAACCATACACAAAAAGTAGTTTTACAAGGATGTCTGCCTAACAACCTTGGTCCCAAAGTTCAACCTTGGACTCATGACACTCTTTTTTTTTTTTGGTCAGTTGTCAGGCTTGAACTCTGAGCCTAGGTGCTGTCACTCAGCTCTTCAGCTCAAAACTAGCACTCTACCACTGGAGACACTTCCAGTTTTCTGAGTGGTTTATTGGACATAAAAGTCTCATGGCCTTTCCTGCCCGGGCTGGCTTTGAACCGCAATCCTCAGATCTCAGCCTCCTGAGTAGGATTACAGGCTTGAGCCACCGGCGCCCAGCTTCGTGACACTCTTTTTAGGAATTATTGTGTCCAAAGATTATTGTTTCAAAATACATGATAAAACCTCTTCACTTTTCTCTTTAAAAAGTTCCCCTGCCAGGCACCAGTAGCCCATGCCTATAATTCTTGTTACTCAGGAGGCTGAGATCTGAGGATCAATCAAGGTTCAAAGCCAGCCCAGGCTGGAAAGTCTGTGAGACTCTTATCTCCAATTAACCACCAGAAAACTGGAAGTGGCACTGTGGCTCAAATGGTAGAGCATTAGCCTTGAGCAGAAGAGCTCCGGGACAGTGCCCAAGCCCAAAGTTGAAGCCCCACAACTGACAAAAAAAAAAAAAAGGAAAAGAAAAATTAAAAGTTCCCCTAAATATGATAAAGACACCTGTCCATCCATATTCATGCTGCAATATTGACAATAGTCAAAATAAGAAAATAGACCAGATGCCCCACAATAGATGAGTGGATACAAAAATGTGGTATACCTATACACAATGGAATTTTACACAGCCATTGGAATGAATAAAATAATGTTATTTTTAGGGAAATGGATGGAACTAGAACAAATCTTGTTAAGTGAGGTAAGCCAAACTCGGAGAGAGAAATGATGCATGTTCTCTCTGATATGTGGAAATCAGATATAAAATATACTGGGATATGATAAATTATACAAGATTCTAGATACTCACACACAGTGAAACCAAAAGAGGATACTCTTAGGAGAAAAATATACAAAAGCACAATGCCTAAGTGCCTCTCTCTCTCTCTCTCTCTTTCTATATATATATGAATGATAATGAACTCCAAGATATGATAATAAGAAATGCCTTTTTATTTTCAATTTTTAAGTTTTTTAATGATTCTGTCTTCTTTTCCTATGTGTGGTATATTTCTGTGCCTATTTTCAGGAGGGTAGGAGGGACGATACGAACTCAAGGGAAAAAGGGTGAGAAAGCGCAGCAGTGGAGCTTACTGGACATTGATGAAAGTGAACTATACAATTTGTAGGTGGAGACAGGAAAGACAGACTTGGAGAATGAGGGAACAGAAGACACTGTACAAAGGAAATGTGCTCATTACCTGACGCATATAATTGTAATCCCTCTGAATATCACCTCTATAACAACAACAAAGTAAATTAATTTTCAAAAAGTTCTCCTAAGCTGGGCAGTGGTAGTTCAAGAGGCTAAGATTTGAGGACCACAGTTCAAAGCCAGCCTAGGCAGGAAAAGTCCATGAGATTCTTATTTTCAATGAACCACTAACAAAAACAGAAGTAGAAGTGTGGCTCAAGTAGTACAGCACTAATATTGAGCAAAAGAAGTTAAGAGACAGTGCCTAGGCCCTGAGTTCAAGCCCCAGTACTGGCACAAAAAGAAAAAAAAGTGCACTTGAGCCAGGCACTGAAAGCTCACCTATAATCCTAGCTATTCAGGAGGCTGAAAGCTGAGGATCTTAGTTGGAAGCCAGAGTGGGCAAGTATATCTGTGAGACTCTTATCTCCACTAAAATGGCAAAATTTTTTAAAAAGCCAGAAGTAGCACTGTGACTCAAGTGGTAGAGTGCTAGCCCTGAGCAAAAGAAGCTCAGGGACAGTGCCTAGGCCCTGAGTTCAAGCCCCAGGACTACCACACACACACACACACAACACACACACGAGCACACACACACACACACACACACACACACACACACACCTTCCTCTTGCCTATTTGTCCATAGTTGACTATGACATGCACATTCTCATTGTAATACTGTAGTACAGATAATAAAAATAAATATATCTATTTCCCAAATATATTATTTGGAGACTCTCTTGTGCTTTTTTCCCCCCAGGTTAATAGTTTTGTTTTTGTTTTTGCCAGTCCTGGGACTTGAACTCAGGGCCTGGGCACTGTCCCTGACCTTCTTTTGCTCAAGGTTAGCGCTCTACCACGTGAACCCAGTGCTACTTCTGGCTTTTTGTGTTTATGTGATACTGAGGTATCGAACCCAGGGCTTCATGCATGCTAAGCAGGTACTCTACCACTAAACGACATTCCCAGCCCCAAGTTGATAGTTTTGTGTAAAGAAAGTTAGGAGTTTATTGAAACACCTCAGGAAGGAACCTAATCAAAGTTTTGAGGAAGAGGGGTGGTCAGAAATTTCCTGAGACAGTAATATTCACATATCCTGCGGGATGATGGGAAAAGTACAAGCAAACAAAGTTTTCCATTTCTCTATTTTTGCATGGCTTTTCCTGTTTTAGTATAAAGAAAAGAATTTGATTGGGTCCCTTGTTCTGGGTAAGAGTAGCTATGGCAATTCATTGTAAGTAAATGCATCAACATTTTAATGTTGACTGTCTTTGAGAAGAACTACAGTTTATCTTTCCTACCCTGAGCACCAGTTGTTCATGCTTATAATCTCAACTACTGCTAAGGAGGCTGAGATGTGAGGATCATGGTTCAGGGCCAACCAGGCAAGAAAGTCTATGATACTCTTATCCCATTTAATCATCAAAGAGCTGGAAGGTAAACTGTGGCTTAAGTCACAGTTAAGTGGCAGAGTGCCGGCCTTGAGAGAAAAAAACTAAGGGACAGCACCAAGGCCCTTTGTTCAATCAAGTCCCAGTAATCAAGTGCGTACACACACGCACGCACACACACACACACACACACACACACACACACACCAGCTCATAGCTGTTATTCTACCATATGAGTTACTGCTCCAGCCCTATTTTTTTGCTGTTTCCTTTTTGTTTTTGTGCCAGCACTGAGACTTGAACTCAAAACCTCTCCTCTCATGACTCCTACTCTACTCCTTGAGCCATACATCCAGTCTGGCATTTTTTTTGCCAGTTATTGGAGAAACTTGGACTTGTTGGCCTGGGTTGGCTTTGAATCATGATCTTCAGATCTCAGCCTCTTGAGCAGCTGAGATTACAGATGTGAGCCTGGCTTGCTGGTTATTTTTTTTTTTCTTTTGTCGGTCGTGGGGTTTGAACTCTGGGCTGGGCGCTGTCCCTCAGCTCTTCAGCTCAAGGCAAGCACTCTACCACTTGAGCCACAGCACCACTTCCCCATTTCCCTGTTTGGCTTTTATCTTGGCCTTGGGAGACTCAAATTCAGTGTAAATTTCTAAAGAACTAAATGTAGCCATTATGCAGACTGGTCCCAAGCTTTAAGAAGTACATTTAAAGGAAGGACTCCTGGGTTCTGTGTTTGATACCCAACTGTGCTCGAAGTCCAGCGGGTCCTCTCCAGGTCCTCTGCGCGTTACTGTTCTTGGTGCTGTAACCTCCTCAGCCTGCCAAGACAGCGATGCAAGCGGCCAAGAGGGTGATTCGCCTTCCACCCGAAGTAAATTGGATTTTGTATATAAGAAATTTGCCAGGGCTGGGAAGGTGGCTCAGTGGTAGAGCGCTTGCCTTGCATCCCTGAGGCCCTGGGTTCGATTCCTCAGCACCACATAAGCAAAAAGAAAAAAGCCGGAAGTGGCGCTGTGGCTCAAGTGGTAGAGCGCTAGCCTTGAGCTGAAGAGCTGAGGGACAGTGCCCAGGCCCAGAGTTCCGACACCACGACTGGGCCCCCCCCCAAAAAAAGAAATTTGCCATACAAAATCATAGCTGAAGACATGTATGATATCTTTGGGAAATATGGACCTATTCGTCAAATCAGAGTGGGAAACACACCTGAAACTAGAGGAACAGCTTATGTAGTCTATGAAGACATTTTTGATGCCAAGAATGCATGTGAGCACCTGTCAGGATTCAGCGTTTGTCACAGATATCTTATGGCTTTGTGCTATAATGCAACAGGGCATTTCAGAAGATGGACACCAAGAAAAAGGAGGAGCAGGTGAAGCTTCTCAAGGAGAAACATGGCAGCAACACAGATCCACCAGAATAAAGGTTTCTCACATTTTCATTTTAGACTAAACCTATGAGTAACCACCACTACCATTTTTTCCTTTGTTTTTTTTTTTTGGGGGTCCGGTCGTGGGGCCTGAACTCTGGGCCTGGGCGCTGTCCCTCAGCTCTTCAGCTTAAGGCTAGTGCTCTACCACTTGAACCACAGCACCACTTCCGGCTTTTTTTCTTTTTGCTTATGTGGTGCTGAGGAATCGAACCCAGGGCCTCAGGCATGCAAGGCAAGCGCTCTACCACTGAGTCACCTTCCCAGCCCCCCCAATAACATCTTAAGTAACAATATAAGTACAATTTGTGAAGTAAGTCTTTCTTTACCAGCCCTGAAATACCTGTCCCAGATATGGTGGTGGGGTTTGTTTTTTTTTGGGGGGGGTGGTTTTTTGGGGAGGGATGGTCCTAGGTACTGTCGCTAAGCTTTTGTGTTCAAGGCTAGTACTATATATCTTTTTTCTTTGCTTTGCTTTTCAGTCTGTCATGGGGCTAAACTCTAGGCTTGGGCGCTGTCCCTCAGCTCTTCAGCACAAGGCTAGCACCCTACCTCTTGAGCCACAGCGCCACTTCTGGCTTTTTTCTGCTTATGTGGTGCTGAGGAATGGAACCCAGGGCCTCATGCATGCGAGGCAAGCGCTCTACCACTGAGCCACCTTCCCGGCCTGTACTATACCTCTTGATCCACATGTCTACTTCTAGCTTTTTGATAGTTAGTTGGAGATAAAAGTCTCACAAACTTTGTTGCCTGGCTGGCTTGGAACCACAATCCTCGGATTTCAGCCTCCTGAGTAGCTAGGATTACAGGTGTGAGCCACTAATACCCAGCTTACTTGTTTTTTACATAAAAGAAAAGTAATTTGCTGTCTTATAAGCCATCATTTGTGTTTTCTGTTCTGTACAGCTGAAACTAATCGTAAGTGATGTTATTTACCTTTATTTCTTTCCCTCTAATCTTCTTTGGTATATTTGTTTCCCTTTTTCCACGATATATGCCAATCACACCTACCTTTCTTTTTCTTTCTCTTCACTTTCCTTTCTTTTTTTCCTCCTGAAATGCTAAGAATGAACCCCAGGACCTTGCACATGATAGGCAAGCACTCTGCTACTGAGCTAAACCCTCACCTTTTCCCTGCTTTTTTGTTCTTTCTCCAATAAACATTATTGGGCAAAACTATATGCCAGATGAGGGAAAATGTACAAAAATGTAAAATTCTAGGGAAAAAAAACAACGAAGATACTTCTACCCTTATCACTTGTAAGCTGGTACAGTAAAGTGAAAAATACTATGAAGAGACACATAAGGGGCTGGGAAGGTGGCTCAGTGATAGTGGTAGAATGCTTGCCTTGCATGCATGAGGCCTTGGGTTTGATTCCTCAGCACCACATAAACAGAAAAAGCCAGAAGTGGTGCTGTGGCTCAAGTGGTAGGGTGCTAGCCTTGAGCTGAAGAGCTGAGGGACAGTGTTCAGGCCCAGAATTCAGGCCCCACAACTGACAAGGGGGGGGGTCCCCAGCTTGTAGGAAAGCTGAGTACGGAGGAATGCAAGTTTGAAAAAAGTCTGAGCAACATAGCAAAATCCTGTCTGAAACTACATACACTAGCCAGGTGCTAATGGATCACACCTATAATCTTAGCTACTCAGGAGGCTGATAAATGAGATTATGGTTCAAAGCTGGCCTAGGCAGGAAAGTTCAGGAGATTCTTATTTCCAATTAACCACCAGACAGCCAGAAGTAGAGCTGGGACTTAAAGTGATAGAGTGCTATCCTTGAGCACAAAAGCTAAGGGGCAGTACTCAGTCCCTGAGTTTAAGCCCCATGACTGACAACACACACACACACACACACACACACACACATACAAATGAGACACATAAAAAGGACAGGAAGAGTCCTTCATGATTCACCTTTATTTTCTGTACTTCTTAGTAATTACCACACGTAATGATCTGCAAGCATTTCCCTGCAATCAATTATATTATTTATATACAAGGCCTAGGTACTTGTCCTTCCCCCCCTTTTTTTTTAAAGTTTTTGCCAGTCCTGGGGCTTGAACTCAGGGCCTGGGCATTGTCCCTGAGCTTCTTTTGCTCAAGACTAGCATACTACCACTTGAGCCACAGCACCACTTCCAGCTTTTTCTGTTTATGGAACCCAGGGCTTCACACAAGCTAGGCAAGCACTCTATCACTAAGCTACCTTCCCAGCCCTTCTGAGCTTTTTTGTTCAGTGTTAACACTCTACTATGTGAGCCACAACTCTGCTTCCAGCTTTTTGGTGGTTAATTGGAAATAAGAATCTTGTGAACTTTCCTATGTGAACTGGCTGTTCCTATGTGAACTCCTGAGTAGCGAGGTGTACAGATGTGAGCCATAGGCAGCTGCTTCAGTCATTATCTTTCGTAGTTGTACAATGTTTCAACATATCCATTTATAAGTATAATGGGTCTTGATCTATGTCACCCCTTTCAACATTCTCCATAACCACATCAACTGTATTATTATTATTATTATTGTCGGGGCCTGGGTACTATCTCTGAGCTCTTCAATTCAAGGCTAGCACTCCAACACTTAAGCACCACAATGCCACTTCTGGCTTTTTTCTGTTTATGTGTGTTAGGTTTTTAAAAAGAGGTAGCCGAGTAAGAACAGCACCACGCACGTGGTAAGGGGTAGGTTTATTCAGTAGACCTGCTGGGACCAGGCAAGGTTGGCACTCCACGCAGCTGGCACCAAGCCATCTTGTCCTCCACATGGTGGGGAAAGGCCTGGGAAAGAGAGCTGGGAGAGCTGGGAAAGAGAGAGCTGGGAAAGAGAGAGCTAGGAAAGAGAAGAGAGCTGGGAAAGAGAGAGAAGGAAAGAGCTGAGAAAGAGCTAGAAAAGAGCAGAGAGAGGGCGTCTGGGCCTGGGGTAGGCCTTATCTAGGGTATGGGCAGAGAAAGGCGTGGCCACATCAAATTCAGATGTGACAGGGCTGGGAAGGTGGCTCAGTGGTAGAGCACTTGCCTTGCATGCATGAGGCCCTGGGTTCGATTCCTCAGCACCACATAAGCAAAAAGACAAAAGCCAGAAGTGGCGCTGTGGCTCAAGTGGTAGAGCACTAGCCTTGAGCTGAAGAGCTGAGGGATAGTGCCCAGGCCCAGAGTTCAGGCCCCATGACCGGACCCAAAAAAAAAAAATTCAGATGTGACCTCTTCCAGGTGTCCCAGTTGCCTAGGTAACACAGGTACTGGGTGGAGACTCTGCTAGCCATCCAGGAGCGGACCTTACAATGTGGTGCTGAGGAATCGAACCCAGGACCTCATGCATGTGAGGCAAGCACTCTATCACTGAACCACCTTCCTAGCCCCATCAACGGTTTTACTTTTAAACAGGAATTTGTATATTTATTTTCCTTTCCTTTTTCTCTTCACTCAGTGAGGCATTTTATTTATATGCATGTTTTGCTTTCCTAGAAAAAAAAATACCAGTACTTCCTTTCCTGTGCATTTTTGTCATGCTTCTTCATGGCTTATGATGCCAGCTGAAATTGTCAGTACAATGAAACCCAACTAATGAGGGAGCAGATTATTCTGCCATTTTAAAAGGTCTTTAAGCTGCACATTCAATCTATACCCTGGCCATGAGGTTCACAACCATTTTCCCAGCTCAGTAATCATCAGTGATTTCAAATGCACTGTGTAACCATGCTTCATCATCATGGCAAGGAACCATCCATGACTTTGGAGCACAGCTGGATTTGACTTAGTGTTCAGCATTACTGAGTATTTGCCTGGGGCATTCATGTGCAGCATTGTGGCAGCATGGAAAGACAGCAAAAAGCTTTTTCCTTTCTACCAGATGTCTGATTTTTTTCCCTCTAATATATTAAGCATCCTAGTAGCAACATAAGAAGGTTGGCATAACAAGCATATTATAATGGTATTTTTTTCATCTTTTTGTTTACGGTCCTGGGGATCAAACCTGGGACATTGCACTTGCTAGGCAAGTGCTTTGCCACTGAGCTACCTCCTAGCCCAAGAACAGTATTACAGATCTTGCCTTTGGTGATTAAGCGCCACTATTTGGGCCCAGTCATGCTGATGACAATTTACTCCCATTTTGCCTCAGTTTTCCAATTGAGTGGCTGCAGTTTATACTATGTCTAATGTACAAACAAGTGTGATCACAGCACTTTTCCAGGATGCTGAGGCTCTCCTCATAAATATGTTTCTCTAAGAATTTTTGTTTGTTTCTGTGCTGGTACTAGAGCTTGAACTTAGCACTTCTCAAGGCTGGCACCTACCACCTGAGCCACAAGCTCTACTTCTAGTTTTTACTGGTTAATTAGAGATAAGAGTCTCATGGGATTTTTCTGCCTGGGCTAGCTGTGAATCACGATCCTCAACCCGGAGCCTCCTGAGCAACTAAGATTACAGGCAGGAGTCTCTTGGCACCTGTGTTTACTTCTCTTTAGTCTCCGCACAAGTTCTGCATACATAAATTCTGAAGAGATTTTCCAAAATAGTATTTATCTAGGTAGTGCACGTTCTAAAAACTATTCAGTTTCTGGAATTGCTTGGGAAAATCCACAAAGCAAGAGTTGTGCAAATTCTTGGCACAGTCCTTGGACAAGTCAGATGGCATTGGTTGCCAGTTCAGGAACTTACATTTCCAGTTAAACTGGAAATTTCAAGTCAAGTACTTGTTTCACTGACATTTGACTGCTTTTAAAAAATAGAATATATTTCTCTTGTAAAAAAAACCATAGTCAATAAAATGAGAAAATTGATTATTAAATAAGTATTTAGAACATTCAAATGAACATAAAATATTGATTACTTGATTATTGCAATGTTCCTTGACTTTTTTAGTATTTTCAATTTTGTGCAAATTCAGTTAGTACACTTTATTTCCATTACTAAATTGCTTTTAAATTTTTACTTTGGATTTTAGTACATCAGCTGACAAATGAATACTTGGGGCCAATTTTAGTGGTGCTTTCTGCCAACCAAGTTTCTTTTTTTTCTTGGTTTTTTTTTTCATGTTAGCTGTGTAATTACTTAAAT